AACCCACTAGGAGTGGCCGGCCTTACCCCCCTATTTTGCTAGGTTTATGGTTTAATTTTGAACAATTTTTCTAAGTATTTGGAATAATTTGTTTGGTTTTGGTTTGTTTTGAATTATGGATTGTTATTTGAATGGATATTATTTTCTCGAATTGCTTAATTGAATGAATGGACTTATATTTATACATGTGACAAATTCAATCAATTTATTTCTAGGTATGTCTAGTGGGGAAGTTAGTTGTCTGGCAGATAGTGCAACCACGCATGCCATCTTGCGTGAACAACATTATTTTACTAACTTCATACCCAAGAAAGCTCCTTTAACAACTTTCTCAGGCTCGTCCAACCTAATAGAAGGATACAGAAAAGCACGTATCATGTTGTCTAATGGTACAATTCTGACCATTAAAGAGGCATTCTATTCTCCATGTTCCGGAAGAACGTTGTTGAGTTTTGGAGATATTCGAGATAATCAATATCATCTTGAAACCACTGAAGATCATGGTTCTGAATTTCTTTGTATCACTTCGTATGAATATGGCCAGAAGCATATTCACGAGAAGTTGGAACGCTTGCCGAGTGGGTTGTACATCACAACCATTCGCGGCATAGAAGCCCACAATGTGGCCGACCCTATGCCTGAGTTCCTGGACACTTTGTTGCTTTGGCATGATCGTTTGGGACATCCTAGACGTGACATGATGCGCCGTATCCTCAAATCTTCACACAGGCATAAGTTACATCCCTATGTTGGACTCTCACCATGCAAAGCGTGTTCTTTAGGGAAGTTGAATACTCAACTCATATACAAAGATTATTCACAATCCCCCTAAATTTCTTTAGAGGATTCAAGGGGACATTTGTGGACCTATCCAACCAACCTGCAGACCATTTAAATATTTTATGGTGTTGGTTGATGCATCGACACGATGGTCACATGTTTGCTTGTTGTCTACACGCAACGCCGCGTTTGCTAAACTCCTAGCTTAAATCATTAAGCTAAGGGTTCACCACCCTGATTATCCGATCAAGTCGATTCGACTAGATAACGTTGGAGAGTTTACGTCACAGACTTTTAACGATTATTGCATGTCAGTAGGGATAAATGTGGAACATCATGTACCCCATGTTGACACCCAAAACGGCCTGGCAGAAGCTTTCATAAAGCGTCTTCAATTGATAGCTTGGACTTTGGTTATGAGAACCAAACTACCAGTATTTTCCTGGGGCTATGCAATAATGCACACAACTATGTTGGTCCGCCTGAGGCCCACCACTACCCAACCACATTCACCGTTACAGTTGGTCACTAGATACGAGCCTGACGTCTCGCATTTACAGGTGTTTGGGTGTGCCATTTATGTGCGTATAGCGTCGCCGCTACGTACTAAAATGGGTCATCAGAGAAAAATGGGAATCTATGTCGGTTATGATTCACCATCAATTGTTCGCTACTTAGAACCCTTGATAAAAGATCTCTTTACCGCACATTTTGCGGATTGTCACTTTGATAAGACAGTCTTCCCGTCGTTAGGGGGAGATAAGCATGCTAATGTTCACGTAGAACGCCGCGAATTGTCGTGGTATGATCTCACTATGTCTCATTTAGATCCCCGCACTGCCCAGTCTGAAACTAAGATGTGTCGAATTATAGATCTTTAGAGCATTGCTCAAAGCATGCCAGATGCTTTTAATGATCTAACAAAGGTGACAAGATCACATATACCCGCTGCAAACATACCTGCAAGGATAGATGTACCCCGCGTACGTCAACAACCCGCCTGGGAAGGTCGGATCGTCCCTCAAGATGGGGAGGTCGTACCCTCCATGCGGCAAGGTACATTGGCGGCTAGCCAATCATCTGCTCCGACCCTGAAGCGCGGCAGACCCCTTGGTTTAAAGGATTCACAATACCGGAAGAGGAAAATGGCACCAACTAGTGACCCTAGTTTGAATCCGACCATTGCTCACTCATCCATTCCAACGCATGAGGTTATTTTAGATTACGGTGATGCTTCAGACAAAACATGCCGACCTTCCGAAAATCATGAGATTTCGGTCCACTACACAGTATTGGATGAGGTTTGGAATAGGAATGAGATGATCGTCGATGATGCATTCTCGTACTCAGTAGCTACTAACATCATGCTTAGCAATGACATTGAACCACGTTCCGTCGATGACTGCCGACGTAGAACTGGAAACAAGCAATCCAGGTCGAACTCGATTCGCTTGCTAAACGTAAGGTATTTGGACCTATCGTTCCTACACCACCACGCATGAAGCCCGTTTGCTACAAGTAGGTTTTCGTGAGGAAACGTAATGAGAAGAATGAAATAGTGCGATACAAAGCACGCCTCATAGCGTAAGGCTTCTCTCAGCGCCCAGGGATTGATTACAAGGAAATGTATTCCCCCGTAATGGATATTATAACGTTCCGCTACCTAATCAATTTGGTAGTTTCCAAAAAACTGAATGTGCAGCTTATGGACGTGGTAACCGGGTATCTCTGTGGGGATCTAGATACGAAAATTTATATGAAAGTTCCAGAAGGACTTCCATTGACTGGCTCAAATAGTTCTAGACCACGGAACACTCTCTCAATTAGGTTGAGGAGGTCACTTTACAGATTGAAACAATCCGGGCGGATGTGGTATAACTGTCTGAGTGAATATTTGACAAGTCAGAGGTTATGTGAACAATGAACTATGCCCATGCGTGTTCATAAAGAAGTCACATTCCGAATTTGCAATCGTTGCAGTTTATGTCGATGACATGAACCTCATTGGGACTCCTGCAGAGCTTGAGGAAATTGCTACACACTTGAAATCGAAATTTGAGATGAAGGATCTTGGGAAACTCAATACTGTCTCGCCCTGGAGATCGAGCATTGTTCGGATAGAATCCTAGTACATCAATCGAACTACACCCAAAAGGTGTTGCGACATTTTAATGAAGATAAAGCGAAGCCTTCGAGTACACCCATGGTCATTCGAACTCTAAATGCTAAACGAGATCCCTTCCGTCCAAAGGAGAATGAGGAAGAGATTTTGGAACCGGAAGTTCCTTACCTAAGTGCAATTGGGGTTTTATTGTACTTGGCTCAGTGCACTAGACCTAACATCTCATTCGCTGTGAATCTATTGGCTAGATACAGCAATGCGCCCACACGCAGGCACTGGAATGGTGTTAAAGACATTTTCCGCTACCTCAAAGGTACTACGGATTTGAGTTTGTTCTATACCCTCAAATCTCCAAGTGTTGCCGCCCCCTATGGCCCTCGGATTGATTCTCACCTTGTTGGTTATGCAGATGCTGGATATCTGTCTGACCTACATAGAGCACATTCTCAAACGGGTTATGTCTTTACCGTTAGAGACACCGCTATATCTTGGAGGTCTACCAAGCAAACGCTAGTTGCTACTTCGTCTAACCATGCTGAGATTCTCGCCCTACATGAAGCATCACGTAAGTGCTTTTGGTTGAGAGAAGTTATGGAACATATTCGAAGCACTAGTGGTTTTACATCAGTAGTTGACCTTCCTGCGACGATATTTGAAGACAATGCAACATGTATCGAGCAGCTGAAGAAGGGATACTCAAGGGAGACAACACCAAGCATATAGTGCTGAAGTTCTTTTACTCACACCAGCAACAGCAGCATCAGAACATTGAAGTTAAGCAAATCCATTCCCAGGACAACCTGGCCAATCTCTTTACCAAGTCATTGCCCAAGTCTACATTTCAGAAGCTCGTCCAAGGAATCGGTATGTGTAAATTATTTGAGTTGAATCGCTTGTAGTTATCTTATTTAGAAGTTATGTCTAACTCAGGGTGAGTATCTAGAAGCATACTCACATGATCTTAATGTACAATTTTTCCTACGATTAGGAACATTTTTCCCACTGAGTTTTTGCTACCTAACGAGGTTTTAATGAGGCACCCATCTTGGGATGATCATACTCCGATAAGTTCACTACCTTTGTCCAGTTTGACGAGTGTTTTAGACATTATGCATATTTTCTTACTTTTCTCCTTAGTTTATGGGTTTGTTGCCTATCTTGGGTTTTACCATAGCAAGGTTTTTGTGAGTTTTTGCAAATGCCTACTTCACTTTAATTTGAGACTTGCACTCACCCGTTGTGCCGATGACTTCATCAACTATTCTATCTTATCTGCTGAAGATCGGATGCGATGGTTTGTTGAGTATTTACACACTCAAGGGGGAGTGTTGCAGTCATATTTAGAATAGGAATGTGATTGTGTAAATCCTAGGGTATATGTGAATGTATCTTATATTCCTATTAAGATTAGATTACCTATTAAATGTTGTAATCCTAAAGGGAAATGTTTTACCCTTCCTACTACTATAAATAAAGGCACAATGAGGTGAATCAAACACACCTCATAATTAAATCAATATCTCTTCTCTCTAATAGTGGCCGGCCCCCTCTCTCTCTAAACCCTAGATCGTTCAATCAAATAGACCTACAACAAATTTATATTATTTGTCATTCGAATCATATTCGGATAGGATACGGATCAGGGATCCTAAAATCACATCCAAAACCATAAATAATATTCACGATTTTTTCTTATATTCAAAATATACCCAAACTTCTTTGGACGGTTATTTTTGGTTATCGAGTTTAACGGTTAGAATTGTCATCCCAAGTGTGTCGTGGCAAATTAACCAATTAGATTGGTAATAGGCACCCATTAAGACCCATTTAGTTGAGAGATTTTTCAGTGTGACCGTCACACGAAATGGTACACCACGTGTCTCTATATAAATAGTGGGTTATGTGTGTTAAAGGGTTAATAACTTAAAAATTAAAAATTTCCACCACTTGCATAAAAACATCCATATTCCCATCACAACTAAAAATTTCTCTATTTAGTTTGATTACCCCTTATAATATTATTACGATTACCAATGTTATCTTATAATTATGTTGAAATCAAATTAAACGGGTTTTTTATCCATTAATAACCGAAAGGATTTAACCCAATGCTTGTTCGGATGAAGAGAGACGCCAAACCAACCGAAGGGAAAACAGAGGGAGAAGAGAAGAAAGAAAATTGCCCTGCATATGAACCTTTTCTTTCTCTCTCCAAAATCAAAATTGAATTGGGTGCAAACAAAAACATGCAGACTCAATTGCATACTCTTTTGCTTCATCAATCTGCCCAATCAGGTTTATTGGGCTACGCTTTTTAGCCGTGTACAAGTCAAAAACTAACAAAGAGATAGAATCCCCTCCCCGGAAACTCACACCATGGAAGGTATCGTCGTTTCCTTTCTATCTCGGATCGCTTTTGAGATATGGGTTTTCTATTTTCTGATTGATTTATGTTAATTTCTGGTATTGCATTGTTTGTTTGTTTTCGGAATTTTGATTATTTTGTATGCATGGAGAGTTTGTTTTAATGGTAATGAGGGTAATATGGGCTCTGATTACTGAGAAACTTTTACAAGTGAAGGAAAATGCCATTTTGATCATGGTGGTTTGTGTTTCCTACTGTATGAGTACAAATTACTTGGCCTAATAAAATTTTCATATATTTACAGTGCTTTATGTTTCCCACATTTGGCTTTCGTCACGCTTTTTGGGCTTAGGGTTATTAATTTTTCTAAGTTGTTTTCTGGATTACATTTAGTATACCGGCACAGAAGCTATGGTGACGGCATTAGGCATCTAGTTGGGGAAATCTCAGGAAATGCTTGAATGTTTGTATAGATGATGTTCGTAATACTTGACTTGGGAGATTATTTGGGGGAGCTTCAATTGAGGGATTCCTCCAGTAAGATTATTTGAGGGACACCCTTGTAGGGCCCAGTCCGTGTTTTATTTTAATGATCTAAACCGTCTAGTTTTTAGGTCTTCCATCAAATATCGTGCTTTCAAAAAATTAGTCAAATTTGAAACCATTTATAACCACTTAATAAAATGGTTTTCATTTTCGCGTTTTCTTGAAATATTGTGCTTGTGTATTTTCTTCACTACAATTGGATGTCTTAGTGATTTTGAATTTGTCTATTTTTTGCAAGCTTGATCATTGAATAATGAATAAAAAAACAATTTTGATGATTGAAATTAAAATCTGAAGCGGGCCTTATGATGTATCACAAAACAGCTTAATCCGATCTAAAAAATGCTTGTGAAACAGGATAATGTTAGGAATGCAACTATGGCCTTCTTCCATGTACAAAATGTGTGGAAAAATTCTTGTGAAGGAGGATGCTGTTTGGCATGCTACCATGACCTGTACTTTTATGCAATTTGGCACATTTGACTCATAGGTCCAGCTTGTGGAACGGACTCAGACGATACATAAGCTTCATTAATCTTTTATGAGCAAACTTCAGTACTGTCTGTTTTAGAAATTAGAATGCCCTCCTTAAGAGTCCCACTAGCGGTAGTGGATATTACGAGATTAAGAAACTCTTTTAGAATTGCACATGACCACCATATTTTACTGAAGTTACGGGAATCTAATAAACTTGTTAAGTCTGGAGCTGCTATATTTGTATGCTTGAATTTTAATATGCCGAAATATTTTGTATAGTTGTTTGTTTGTTTGTACAGTTTTAGTTTAAACATTGTTTAGTTCAAAAACAGAAATGCTTTCAAATATAGGTGTGATCTTCATTATCCAATATTGTTGTTGGATTTTGAAATAGGTAGTTGCATGGAAGATGCAGCTTTGCAATTATGATCCTCATTTTTCTTTTGGAATCATTACAGGGGATCCCTCCTAGTTTTCCAATTTGATCAGTGGGTGACTAATTTTGGAAATTTATTTTGGATAGGCTTTGTTTAACCTGTTACCATATAGCAGATTCCTGCAACCTAGTAAGGAATTGCATAATCTTCCCACCACTTTATATTTCTCTCAGAAGGTCTGTCATAGATGTGGCGGTTGTCTTATTATTTGTTGTCTCAAACAAGAAAGAAAGTCCATGGGAATAGCCACAATCATAATAATGTTAATGGAGAAACTTATTCTTGTGATTTTCATTGCTAGAATAACTTTGTAAGAGTTCTCAGTTTCAGATTTGTAGTCTTTGATATTGTTGAATCAAGAAGCAACCATTCATAGCTTGTTGCTTGTTTCTCACTCTCTCACGCTCTCATTTGATGTCTTTCATTAATAGTTTGTTACGTGTCTTACTCGTGCTGAGAGGAGAATTTGGGCGATTCAGGGTCAGTAGTTTTCTGTTGTATGTCCTTTTGTCTTTAATTGCTAGATAATTCGAAGCAACCGACCACTTTGGTCCTTGTAATTTCAATTGGAAAGCCTTGGGTGCTTACCAAAATCTGAAGTCACTTGGTTGGCTGGTAGTTCTTGGTGAGTCAACACATGTAATATGCCAAAAGAGAAGGCAGTACTCTTCATTATCTCTTGGTGTGCACCAAGCGAAACGGTGGGGGAATCTTCTGACTATATCTTTCTTTCCTTGTTCCCCCACGGCACAAACCGATATTAGATTAATTCTGGCTTTTGGTTTGGAATGGTTGGTTCGTGGGAATTGATACTGTTGACTGTATGTGTTCATTATGGGGAAAGATTTCAAGAAGAAAAATGTCAGCCTGTGGCGATAGGCTGTTTTGGCTCTATTTGGGTGTTGTGGTAGGGACAGAACAGCAGAAGCCTTGATAATAGAAATGAAGAGTTGGCTTCACTGGTGACGTGATTGAATATCGTGCCAGGAGATATTTTTGAAGAGACATTTCTCAAGGCTTTGGTGTTTTCTTTTCTAATTTGGTTCCAGGGAATGGAGAGATGATCTGTTTATGGAGGAGACAGATCTCTTATCTGTGCCCTATGTTGGTTTTTTTTTTTTTTTTTTTTTTTTTTTTTTTTCATTACCCGTAAGTGGCGCGCTGTGTGGCCCGAGCACAGTGATAAATGAGCAAGGGTCGCTGTATCTCCATCGGCACCCGGATACAGTGTTAAATGAGCAAGGGGGCCATAGAAACTTCTTTTCGAACGACTCCACTCAAAGTTGTTTGGGAGCATATGCTCCTATCAACTTTACACGGGACACACAAAAGAAGTACTTTGATCCTATTAGACGATGGAGGGTGAAGAAGCTAGGACAGAAGGGTAGAGTTCAAGAGAGCAGAATGCGTTTAGGAACGTGGAATATAGGAACCTTAACGGGAAAATCTATGGAAGTAGTGGAAGTTATGGTGAGGAGAAGGATAAATATTATGTGCCTACAAGAAACTAAGTGGGTTGGTCGTAAGGCAAAGGATCTAGAAAACTCAGGGTTTAAACTTTGGTATTCGGGCACAAATAGAATGAGAAACGGTGTTGGCATCATCGTGGACAAGATCTTGACACAAGATGTTGTAGATGTCAAGAGGGTAGGAGATAGAATCATGGCAATCAAGATTGTAATAGGACAAGAACTTATCAATGTGATTAGTGCGTACGCACCTCAAGTAGGGTTGGATACGAGTTTGAAGGAGAAATTTTGGGAAGACCTTGGAGACTTGGTGTAAGGAATTGCTCAGACGGAGAAGTTATTTATAGGAGGAGATTTAAATGGACACGTGGGCAGGGAGACAAGCAACTATAGAGGTTTTCATGGTGGCCATGGTTTTGGGGAGAGAAACGAGGATGGGGAAGCTATCTTGGATTTTGCAATGGCATATGATCTTTTCTTAGCCAACACCTTCTTTAAGAAGAGAGAAGAACATGTGATCACCTACAAGAGTGGGTCGTCAAAAACACAAATAGATTTTCTTCTAATGAGGAAAGGGGATCGTATAACTTGTAAGGATTGCAAAGTTATACCGGGAGAGAGCTTGGCTAATCAACATCGCTTGTTGGTGATGGATGTACATATCAAAAGAGTGAGAAAAAAGAACAAGACTTGGAAGTGCCTAAGGACTAGATGGTGGAATCTAAAAGAAGAAAAACAAGAAATTTTCAAAGAGAAAGTAATCACCCAGTGTGTGTGGGATAAAGAGGGGGAAGCTAGCCAAAGGTGGGATTCCATGGCTAGTTGTATCCGAAAAGTAGCAAAAGAGGTATTAGGAGAGTCCAAGGGCTTTGCTCCACACCAAAAGGAATCTTGGTGGTGGAATGAGGAGATACAAACAAAGGTGAAGGCTAAGAAGGAATGTTGTAAAGCCTTATACAAGGATAGGACCGATGAAAATGGTGAAAGGTATAGAAAAGCGAAGCAAGAGGCGAAGAAAGCTGTGAGAGAAGCTAAGTTAGCGGCTTATGACGATATGTATAAGCGACTAGATACCAAAGAAGGAGAGTTGGATATCTATAAACTAGCTAGAGCAAGGGAAAAGAAGACAAGGGACCTAAACCAAGTGAGGTGCATCAAGGATGAGGATGGAAAGGTTCTTGCTACAGAGAACGCGGTTAAAGACAGATGGAGAGGTTATTTTCATAATCTTTTCAATGAAGGACATGAAATGAGTGCTTCTTTAGGGGAGTTGAGTAACTCAGAAGAGTGTAGAAACTACTCCTTTTTATCGTCGAATCCGGAAGGAAGAAGTGGTTGTAGCTTTGAAGAAGATGAAGCATAGAAAAGCAGTAGGCCCAGACGATATACCAATCGAAGTGTGGAAAGTTTTGGGAGAGACAGGTATAACATGGCTCACTGACCTTTTCAATAGGATTTTGAAAACGAAGAAGATGCCAAATGAGTGGCGAACGAGCACTTTGGTGCCTATCTACAAGAATAAGGGCGACGTACAAAATTGCATGAACTATAGGGGTATTAAGCTAATGAGTCATACAATGAAGCTCTGGGAGAGAGTCATTGAGCATAGATTGAGGCAAGAGACACGGGTTTCGGACAACCAATTCGGGTTCATGCCAGGGCGCTCAACCATGGAGGCAATCTATCTCTTACGAAGATTGATGGAAAGATATAGAGATGGGAAAAAGGATTTACACATGGTCTTTATAGATTTGGAAAAAGCGTATGATAGGGTCCCAAGAGACATTCTTTGGAGGATTTTAGAGAAGAAAGGAGTACGAGTAGCATATATCCAAGCTATAAAGGATATGTATGAAGGAGCAAAGACTGCCGTAAGAACTCATGAAGGACAAACCGAAAGCTTTCCCATAACTGTAGGATTACATCAAGGCTCATCCTTAAGTCCTTACCTTTTTGCGTTGGTAATGGATGAGTTAACAGGACATATTCAAGATGATATTCCTTGGTGTATGCTTTTCGCAGACGATATAGTGTTGATAGATGAAACTCAGGAAGGGGTAAATGCAAAGCTTAACCTTTGGAGAGAAGT